CAGGTTGTCATCGATTTGCTGTGGTGAGGGCTCAGAGGCAGCCACAACTATAGTGCAGGCAGTCAGGTAGCATGGCACCAGCCTGCTTGTGGTACAAGGAGAGGAAGCTGGGAGAGCTGATGAGAAACTTCCACTCTCTGCAGCAGAAGCTGCCTAACTGATGGCTGCTCCTGCTTCAAACAGAGACGTGTTTTGTAGAAGCGCCTTTTCCAGAGAGCAAAAGAACGATGGACAGGTGTGAGAGAACAGCAGTTAGTGCTGCAAGTGTCACTGAAGTGACGGTAGATAAAGTAGCCCAGGTGTAGTCATTCCGAAACCATAACCATCGATCTGAGTTCGATGTGCAAAACCACCATTTCCAACTACGATCTGGATTGATTATCCATCATTTAACTGACCAGACACCATTGTCCCCGTGCCCCCAAGTGCTGCTTGGTTTTTCAAATCTTGTATTTGGACTTCAAAGCACTCCTCTGAAATTTCAAGGACTAATGGAGAGGATCCCACTGTCTCATGGCAGCTTCACATGGTCCCCACAGCAGAATGTCAGACTGTGTGTGCCAAGGCCAATTCTTGGGATACAGGCTAAGAAGTGGGTGGGTTAAGACCCTACGTAAGGCAGCACTAGGGCTGGGAGAGCCTTGTCCCCAGCACCAAGGAAGGAAGGAGGTATTGTCCAGGATGGCTAAACATGGATTACTGGAGATGTACACAAAGGCTTTCCATAGCTACAGCTTCCCCGCAGAGCTGTTGTACAGCAAGTGCCAGTCACATGTGTACTGGGGTATCTGTAAAACCCATTTTTTGTGGGTCCCTGTACTCCAGGTCAGGCTTTGCTGGAGACTCTGTCCCAGTAAGAAGCCTCTGAGCATGGAGCAGGGGCTGGTGCTCCTGCTGGAGTATGGGGACGGGAAGTGTTGCAGCCTCCACCCCAGCAGGAAACTCCTGTGAGGAAACAGAAATAACTGAAAAAAGAAGTGATGGTTGGTCATGATGGGGCCCCTTGTCCTCCTGACCCCATTCAGGCGGCCCCACAGCTCAGACAAGCCTACGTGTTTACCGTGTGCCGTGGGGCTGGGACCACAGATGCAAACACAGAGGTGACACGTGAAGAGTGTCTCACACAGTGCTTCTTCCTTCCTGCAGCCATGCAACATAACCCGGGCGTCCAGCCCCGGCCAGGGCCTGGGGGAAACCAGGTGGGAGCCCCGTGCTGAAGGACAGTGCTGCTCGGTGTCATGGGCGACAGCGAGTGCAACTGCTGTCCTGGGGGCTCTACCTGCCAGGGGAGGAAAGGCAGATGAAGGTGTTCCTCAGCCAGGGGGTTGCTGGGGGAGGCCTGACTGCTCCGAGCCCACCAGGACACAGTGATATTTCCTCTAGCTTGGGGACTGGCTCACTCAGTACTTCTTTAAGGATCTCCGCTGTTGCTCTGTTGCACTGTACAGATGTGGCCTTTGTCCCCCAGCATGACAAACCATTTTCTACTATTTTCCTTATTTTCTAATATTTTTCCTGCTTAGAAGTAGATCATACACTCATCTATCTTCCAGACAAAGCTATCTGTGAGGCAGAAAAGGGACACAACCTCTCAATGATACAGAATTTTATTTTTTTAATTCCTGAGGTTAAAAAAGGGAAAAAAAAGCATCAAGAAACATTCCAGGACACAACCACCTACACCTCTGTAACTGTACAGACGCTGGTACACATATAGCTCTTCTTCCCCCATCTGGAGCGTGAAGTTTGATGTGAATGGGGTTTGCAATTCTTTGGCAGTTAAGGCCGAAAGATGCTTCTGAACAAGTTACAAACTCAGTGATTGACCATAATTAAAACTACAGTGCAATTTCAATTTTAAAAAAGGAGCCAAGTCAGGCTTTTGTAGCTTACCTATTGTGTAAGTGGTACACTCTTGTGCAATACATCTCAGTGATTTTTCATAAAGCAACATAGAGTAATGTTGAATAAAGGAACACTGTCATTTTCTTAAAACAACGACATTCTTTCCTTTGTATAAACCTCTGCATAACAAAAAATATTAGCCTCCATTGTTCCAGCACCCAGAAAAAACATCCAATTGCTTATACTGACCACAATGTACACTCTCTTTGTCTCATGAGTGTGACATCCCCTTAAATTAATTTCATGATTGATTTAAAATGTTTGTTTTCTCTGAATTGCACTGCTGCAGATAATAAAAGGCCCAATTCAACAAATCACCTGAGTACCTGTAAATAAACAGATTTATCAGTGTCCTTGGCACAACTCACATGAACAAGTGCTTTATGAATGGAGGTATAAAGTGCTTGAATTAAATAATCTCTTGCACTTGTGCCAAGTCCTTTATTGGGTTTCCATGGCTCCAGTAATAAAAATTCTGGGACATTCAGCCAAAAGGTCAGTACCAATGACAGGTTCATTACCGTCTTCTCTGCACAGCCTCTGAGATGTAAACGAGTCCCTCTTCTAGGTGACATTATGGGATTCCTGTTCTTCAGCAGCTGAGCAGTTGTACTCCTGTCCACTTGTTGTACCTTACCAGTTTGAGTATTTCCTCTTTTGAAACTTTTTCTCCTTCTTAAATACTCTCCTTGGTTAGAAGCAAACCTTTTCCACAGGTTCTGGCTCCCACCCTTAGTCCTCTTTCAGAGAGCAAAAAAGCCAGAAAACTACCCTTATGGGACAGGAAAACCTGAAGAAAAGGTACCATAAAGACTCAAATGCTAAATAAAAACAATTCAGTGTTTTTATTTCCCTCCTCCCAAACATACACCAGCCTCAGGACTGTCTATGTGAAAGACTGGCAGGGAAGCATCTGGCTTACTAAATGGAGCCATTTGCTTTAGGAGTTACATAAACAGTGGCTTAAAACTTATTTGCCACAGGATGAAAAAATGTTAAGAACTGGGACACAGAGAGGAAATCCAGATGCAAGTCTGTAAAATAATTTTGAATGGAGACATTTCAAATACTTCTGAGTAGAGATGTCATATCTTGGCCTAAGATACTTGACAGTGTCCCTTTACCTTACATTTGGCATCTGAAGAAAGATATCCTAGTAAGATTAGTATTCTAACTAAAACAATGGCAAAATGCTTTTAAAACCCACACGTAAAAGTTCAAAGCAAAACTGCAGCAGACTTCAGTAACAGCTTAGGGAAATTGCATAGCTTATGGTACACAGTACTCCATTTTTAAGCAATAAATAAGTCTCTTCTTGCCTAATTAAATACAAAACATAGCTTCAACACTGAAATATGCCATAATTCATGAACTGACCCGTGCACTGTTTATTGCCTATTCATTGCCCACTTCAGTCTCTTGTCAATCTCATTTTCATGCACACAGCCAGGTAAGGGTTTAACAGCATTGCAGCCTGTTCCCTCAGGAGGAGGAGGAAACCAACTCACGCCTTCCACTGACCCCTCTGCCTGGCAGAGGCTGGGGAGCACACTACCAATATGGGGAAGAGGCATATGAAGGGAAGGGAAGGGAAGGGAAGGGAAAGCTATTGATGAGCCAGACACCTAAAATCTAGGTGCTTCATGACAGGTAGTCATTCTTTCACAATCTTTTTCAAGATCACTGTGTTTATACAGTGTTCACAACTGGAATGAATGATTAGCATCATTTAGCTTTATCTGCTGTATTCTTTTCTTTCCTGTGATAAGAAATTTCCTTCTACCTCAGGTGCTACTATGTAAACGTCCAACACTTGTCTTGCAATCTCCATCTTTTAAACAACCAGCCTTTTGCTGTAGAAGGAGATCCCCTGTGGGTAACGGATTGGACCAGCAACACATGAACAGCAGCTGGACTCTCCTGACTTCCTTCCCTAGTCAAACTGATCCCTCTAGGCCTCTGCCCTTGCTTTTACATTCACAAGTTTGCTCCTGTGCTTTCTTTCCCCTCCCCTAAATAATTTGCTTTAGCTTGTGCTTGCCCTTTTTTCTTCTTTCCCCTCATGTTTTATTTTCTGTCTCCCACCGTGATCCCTGCACACCAGCTACAGCTGCCACCAACAGTCTACAAGGTTCCTGGCAGACTGAGCTGGCCATCTACCAACTGCTGCAATAAAAACTTCCAGGCCTGAGGTTTCCTTGGGAGAACAATAACATGAGAATCAGACACATCTAAAATGATGAGGAGGGCTGGTTGGGAGAAAGAGCTTTTCTCCTTTCTCCTGCCAAATGTTTTACCTTTCCATCAGAAGACAAGATTTTTAAACAGAAACATCTGCTTTTGCATATTTTGACGAGAAGTGGAAATTCTATATAGAAAGCAGGCTGTTTGCATGGAAATTTTGTATAAGTGAGAACCCAGTCTTCCCTTAAAAGGCAGTGTTCACAGCCAGCTCTGTCCCCAATCCAAGATGGAAAGTTAGCATTTGGTTGGAGCAACCACAAGGGTCAGGAAATGGGCTGAATACACTAACGCTGGGTGGAGAGCTCATCAGGGTTGGATATGCATTCGGTTTTGGATGGGCTTCTCGAGACATTATTGCTACTTCCCACGTGGTCTAGAGAGAGCAAGACTGCTGACCTCCTCACAAACTGTGCTTTCCTGTGAATGCTGATGACTAAAGTGCTAAAGCAGGAAAAAGGAATGCTCTTCCTCCTAATATCACACAGTGAGCAGTTCTACAAATTATACTCCTGATTCTGTCACTGGTACTCACTGTAAGAGCTGATTTCAGTAGACCAGCTTACAAAGTATAGTGAGCAAAAGTGAAAGGAGCTGCTGCTTCATGTTGTATTGTTTTTTTTATCAAAGCACTTGTAAAAACCAGTTAAGACTTACCAAATATTAGCCCAAAATGTAAAAACCCTCTATGTTTGCTGTTTATAAAACTTGGAAAAGATAAAAAATTCTAGATGGATGTGGAATAGTGTGGATTACAGTATATGCCTGTGAAGATTGAAGTATTGCATAGCTGTTCTGACTGTAAGAGCAGCAGAGCAGAACTGAAATGGTCATGTTTACTCCTCAGCTAAGAGGTCAACAAAAATAGGCATTTTTCTTTAAATTTCCTTTTGAAGGATATTTTTGGAAGAAAAATAAATTCAACTTTCAGTAGAGAATCTCAGTTTGCATTTAGCCACCACTACACTTATTTTTCTCTCCACTGAAAAAAAAGTGGTTGGAACATTATTTTACCTGTTAAATCAAACAACATGGCTTTTCAGCAATCTGTACACAGTACAGAACCATTAGTGTTCCTAAAAAGGCTTCTGTTTTTTAGTGTATATGTGTTCTCTAAGTGCATTATAACTATTGCATAGTTTCAAAGTCTTCAAACACAGTGGTAATCATAATGCTTACATGTACATAAATAATACCATTTCTTAAAAATTTAATTAAAAATAACACAGTATATTCAAGGCTATGGAAAATCACTTCCATCGTAGATGACAGGTCGTTCAACAGCCAAGTGATAAAACACTCTTTTTGAGATAAACCTGTCAAGGAAAAAAAGAAAGCAAGATGATCACATTAGCTGAAGTCAACTAGAGAGGAAGCCATAAAAGTGTATTCAGACTTTCAGTTGATATTTTGGCCAAAAAACAACTGGTGTTCGAAAGAAGTATTCCTGTGCAAGGGCTGTCAGGCCTGTTTTTATTAAGATGACAATCCTGACTAAACTGTCTTGGAAAGAGTCACAAATTACTTGCTTACTTCTGTTTACCTTCTCAGAGGATGAGAAAGAAGAGTGGAGTTCTGCTATGGCAGGAGGAAAAAAACACAAACAAGAACCAAAACTGAAGCTGAAGATCTTTTGGCAAGCTGGGAGCAATTTCTCATACTTATTTCTGAATGGCAGAATGATAATGGTACATCCGATCGATGCCACCATCTGTAAAGCCAAGCTTATTTCACCTTTTACACCCAGCCAGGACCTACCTAGAGAATGTGTTGTCAAATATCAGCGTGTAGATTCCACAGTTCCTGACTTTCACCTGTCCTCTGATAGTTTCCTTATGAGAGTTGCAGCGAGTCATAGGAATAAGAACCTGGAATTCAATACAAATCAAAATTAAACTTGCTATTTGCCCTATACATTGACATTAGATTTCAGAAAAATGTTTAAGACTTGAGCCATCTTCAAACTCCCAAAGTACATATGTTCCCACAAAACTATTTATTTTCACTGATGAGCAGTAAAAACTCCTCCAAACTAAATCTCACAGTGAACAATGGGACACCTGTTTTCCTTTGACAGCCTCTTTACAGCATTAAGTTATGGCTATAAATCTCTGCTTTAGAGACAGAATCAAATCTTGACCTTTTTAATGTTAATCTAAGGAAGTTTACTAAAATCAGCAGTGCTACATCACACAAATATATCCAAGAACAGGCTTTAGCTAAATATGTCTTGTAGTATAAGCTTTTATACTCCCTGTAGTATAAAATAAGTTTTCTCAGCAAATCTTAATTGTTTATCTAAATTTACAGTAAAACTGTGTGTAAACCAGCTATCTTGCCGTAAAACCTTAGCAGAGACACTTGTCAGAACAGCGGCTGATGTAGATCAAGGACAATCCTATAAAACCCAAAGTCATATCAAATAGATCTATCAAAATGGAAGCAACATTCACTCTTCTTTCATCCTTCAGATGAAGAAAAAAAAGAGATTTAACATGGGGTTAGTTATCCTGAAGTGAATTAACACATGCTATGTAAACACCTTGCTCCCTACCACAGCGACTTAAACCAACAGCTGCCTTGTCTTCATTAAAACTTCGCAATGAGCCGAGTAACATAGATTCACTTAATCCATAATCCCCACGAAATACAGGCAGTGCATATAAAAACTGGTACCATGGCTCTGGCAAAGTGATTTTGCAAGATGTGGGCACACCATCAAAGCACTTAAGTATATTCTTAACTTTAAGAAATGCAATTTATCTGTCTCCTTGTGGCCACTTGCTCAAGAGCCTGGCAAGGTCAGCCCTAAGCAATTTAGAGATTAAGTAATATTGAGGAGGGAAAAAAGGCAGACAATATTAAGTAATTAAAGATCTATCTCTGCCTTCAGGAGAACTGTAGTTTCATAGAAGGTATAAGTCCTTATAACAAAACAGCAACTGGCACTCTTGTGGAGACCTACTAGCTACACTTGCCAATTCCTCTAGGCAGCTGATTGCAATGTACTATAATTCCTAAGGCAGTAAGGACAAAAAGGCCTTACTTTGCACTGATCCAGTGGTGTGTCTTCTGACTCTTGGTAGACAACACTGAAGGATATACTTTTAGGGTCTGATGAAAAGATCCAACTAATAGTCAGCCCCATCTCTGTAACAGTGATAGGAATCATACTGTAGGTGCTGGATTTAATGAACAGCTCTCTGTTGCTTTCCCCAAAATTTAAGATCTCTTCCACTGTAAGGGGTAGTTTGATCCTGTGGGGGAGAAAAATACAATTACTTTAACAGACTCAATCTAATTACTCAGACAGAACCAATAATTGTTGCCTTTTATTTTCCATCTATTTGAGGTAGATTCCACAGCAACTTTGGGACAGGTCCGTAAGATGCAGGATAATTCAGCCTTGAATGAAGGCAAGAACTGCAGAAAAGATGACTGATACCAAGCACTTTCACTGCTCTGGCAAATGGGGATATTATTCACTTATTTATTTCATTTTGACTAGAAAAATCTAGTGCTTGAATAAAGCTTTTAGAGTTACTATGACTTAAAAAAAAAGACTCTGCTGCCCTCTACTGTTCTTTTAAAACAAAAACTTAAACCTAATTTATTCACCTCTCTAGATATCGTTTCTACAGGAAATAGGGATCAGGAGGATAAAGGGGACAGAGGGGTAGAAAGTGAACAGGGGTAGCAGCTCCATCTAGACCCTCTAGAGTATCTAGAGCTACAGGTTGGTCTGTTTTACCCAAGGCAGCCGCATAAAAGCTGACTGTAAATTCTTCCAATTCAATCTTAAATTCTCAGCACCTAGATGATCCCGAGTCCTGAAGTCCATTATACCTCATTCTGATATCTATTTCAGACTGCAAATAGTGAGGCTTTTAAACAGGAGATTGCTGCTTGCTTCCTTCAGGGGAAACCTGTAATTTTTACGAGCTGAGGATCTCACTTACATTATAGTAACTACAACTGATCTAACATATCACTTTTTAGGTCAAATAAATTGTTTCCCAATCAATGAGCTCACAGTAAGTCACAGTACTGTAATTTGTTTGTCATCAGCTATCAAAAATCAACATATTTGCCAGAAGATCACACAGTTGCCATGATGATTTGCTGCTCTAGAGTAAGGAGTTCAGTCTCCATCCATGACACAGTGGTTAGGGATCACAGCTGATTTATTAGTGTAACTATTGTACTCTGGCCAGAGAGGAAGCTGTATATTAAGTTTTGCTTACCTTGTTACTTTTTCCTCTTAGCTGAAGTAAGTACTGGAGTGTGTCGGGTGGTCTTTGATTTTAATAAACTAATGATCACTCTTAGTTTTGCCCTAGTTACCGCTTTGTTTACCTGGTTCTCTGAACAGCAGCAACAAGGTTGAAACATGGATTAATTTATCTCCCTGCAGTCAGAAGTTTAAAACCTTCCCCATAACTAAGCCAAAATTTCAAAGCTAGGCTTAAGGGCGGAGTTGACAAAAGAGGATTTCTCCAAGTCATGAGTATTTTCATACATTAGATTTCCTTCTTGGCTGTGCAAGTGATATGCTACTGCACCTAACTACTAATTTCTGAGCATGATACGTGCAGAGATTTGTGCACACACAGTTCACAGAGGTTGAGCAGAAGCTTTGTTGACAGTTTATGCTACGGCATATATCAACCTGAGCAGGCACAACAGTTCCTGTGAGGCAGTAGGTAGGCGCTACCAATAAATAAGAGATATGCTCCAAAAGGCCGTGAATTCCCTCCTCATGACAAAGGTCCGACTAGCACAGCACTCCCTGACTTTCCCTCGCTGCTTCTTCTAGAGACTACTAGAACTACGCAGCCTTCTTTCTAAGCCTCCTCCTGTCCACAGCACCTCCTGCAATAATAAAACGAAGGAAGATTTTCTGATGTGATGTGGATTCAAATCTTTCCTTCTTATTCCTCACTTGCACTAAAGTTTTTCAGGACTGAAGAGATAACCTGGCTCATTGCTGCTGCTCCATTTAGTTAAGCTATACTCTCCCCTCTTCCTTGGACTAAATTCTGCTGTGGGGCATAAACAATCAGCTCTTCCAGGAGACTGCAAGACCTGTGCTCACATAGGTGATATTTGAGCTCAGCCTTTATTCTTTCAGCTTGGTAGTAGTGAAACTGTTCTACTTACATGATTTCTCCTGACTTCAACAAGCATATCTCAGCATCTTGAGCAACTTGCCACTCTTCTGATTCATCAAAGGCTGAAGAATTACATGTGCTGTTTCTAGGACAAGGTAAAAAAAGAAAACCATGATTCTCTGAGTAGTATGTGGTCAAATATCATCTGCATGCTGATGTCTTCCTAAAATAGAAATGTTTTGATAGTCATGATGCCAAATTCTAGAATTCTCTTTTTGTGCATTCTAGTAACAAAACTGTGTAAAACTGGGGCTAACCACTGTGCACAAATGTAAAACTGCTCCTATCCTGGTTTCATGAGCTAACAGTAACACGTGTCTAGAACATCTCTTCAACAGTTTAAGATTAATTCTCTAGTGAGGTGATGCCAGGTTTTAAAGATTCCATGGCAGGCAGAAATCTTGATGGAGGGCAGACACAAGCAACACAGTCTGGACTGTTCACTTAGACAAAGCCTGCACAGGGATATGACATCTGCCCTGGATTTAATCTGGGAGGTGTTTTACAAACATATTATCCAGTTCCTCACTCTGACAGAGTTTAACTGGAGATCTTGTCCCCCTGACAGGAGCATTTATTCTTGAATTCTATTCACACTAGTTGGCAGAATTAAGGATGTTCCTGCAGCTTGCCAAGTCGCCAGCTTATGAATATGCACCCTCTGGTGTATCTACTAAAATCCAGACTGTTCCTCTTCTTTTTCTTTTAAAAGTGAAATTAAGTGGGGCTGAAAAGAAGGAAGAACTGAAGCATGGAGAAGACACTACAGCAAGAAGAGAACAGCTCTAGTCCTGCAAATCTTTGAGACAAAGATTGTCAGAGGCTGGTGGAGCATTTTGAAGATGTATTACTTCATCCTCGTCCTGTTCTTATGCTCTTCCTCGGGCATCTGCTGTTGGTCACTGTTCCTCAGCTGGATGGTCTGGTCTAGTGTGCGTGTTCTTATATAAAGAAAGCATTTCTTAAAAATTATACTAAAAATACTGTGCCCAACATCATGAATGGCTTTGGGAGTTAGAAACAATAAGTCCCTTTCAGAATTAAAACCTGAAGAAAGCTAGTTCAACTCTGCCCTTGACAATTTTCTGTTTTCACACACCTGAGCTCTGGCAGCTGTGGCTATGTGTCTGAGGTGTCAGCTTCAAGTGGCTGAGCAGTGAAATCCCATAAGCCATCTGCATGATTTCTAGAGAGAATTTCAGTCATTCAGGACCAGAACCTTACTGAATTCTGTGAAAGTCAGAAACTTGAAATGGAGAGTGGAGGCTGTATTGGGCTCCTTACAGCTGCTTAGCCCAGCAAGCACCTCTGCAAGTGTCTCTAATGCCAAGAAACAACTGAAGGCATTATGCTGAAGTGTATTAACGATTCCCTGGGCCTGCTGCTACCTGGCAGGTCAGACCCATCCCAGGCACCCTAACTTAGTTATCAGCCTTCCTCTCCAGCCCAGCAAAGAGAAAGGAAAAAAGAAAAAGGCTGGTAAAGGATCAGAAGCAAGGATGCACATACAGCCCTTGGCATGTGCAAGAAGAGAGGCATGATTTGGGATGGAGCACAGGCAATGCAAAACTCACTGAGTTTTTAACAGGGTACAAGAGAGTATCTTGCATGAAGGAGTATGTATGGGTGGGAGGGGGATGGAAGGGTCACAGGAGGAACCTGCCATATGTAGGGATGGGAAAACATCACATAGACAGCTGATGAAAAAATGGATGGACATGAAGATCCATCATGTGTTGTGGGTGACCCGCATATTTACTTAGGAATTCCCAGCCACTTCTCAGAAAAAATGTAGGACTTAACTATGCTACATCCTGTATGAAAAAAAAACAAACAAAAACAAACCCAAAACCTAAAAGGACTCTACAGCCTTAAAATTGGTTACACTCTGTCTGTAAGACCAGAGGCAACTGGTGCATATATAGAAAGCATGCTAGGGAAACAATCATGCAAAATCTTTTGAGATTTTTTTTTTAGAATTGTGATACAGAAGAGGTTTGGCAAAGGCTCTGAGATGAAGACAGCTTGCAGTTGTCAGCCAAATGCTGCATTTGCAAGAGGTTCAGACGACAGGTTTCAAAATAAGCAATTTGGAATTACCAGGGTGCTTTCAAGTCCCCTCCCCAGCAGGAGGCAGCAAACAGATGACTATCGGAATCAACACTAGAAACGCTGGCAAGACGCTGCCCTAAAGATCCTAGATACTGCACAGTCTGTAGGTCACCCAGGTTACAGCCAGCTCTATGGGTAACTCTAAGCTTTTTTCAGTTGTGAGGTATTTACTGGTTTTTTCTTAGATACCTTTGAATTTTCTCCTTGCACAGTTCTTTAGAGGCTATTACAGGGAAACCGAGGCAGAATTCTAGGAGAGGTACAGCAGAGGCAGCAGTCATCTTTGGTGAAGAGTACATCAGAAGTTACCCAGCAGTGATCCCAGGGTACCTCATGTATGGATAAGGGCAAATGGATGTCAGGAGGGTATTTGTCTCCATGGGGAGGCCACCCCTGCCCATACAGTCTGAGAAAGGAGCATCTCTGGTGACTGAGGAAACAGCAGTTGCAAGGAGGCTGACAGAGCAGCTCAGACGAGCTCTGCATCAATGCATGATTAAGATGTTTCAAAAGCAATTCTGAATGCTTTCTGATTTTAAGGAATTTAAATGGGCCTCGTTGGCAGAAAGGGCCCCTCTGTAACACGGTGGGACCTTTACCTTTTCTCAAGGCAGACATTCACATCATTTTAGGGTACATATGCTACCACATAGCTTAGTCCCTGCTTTATCATCCTCATACCCTATTCTGCATGTGAAAACAACTTCTAAAAGCAGGTGGCTGTTGCAACCTATAGTTACTCTGTTTGACAGGAACAATTTGTGAGTATTTAGCACCTTGCTACAGGTTTGTTTCTTGGAGACAGAGGAATTGCTACCACACGCAATGAAGCACAAGGGAGAACTCAATTTTAAAGAGCATTACAAGGCCTTGCATTTCTTGTGCAAGTAGTCTTCTTTCAGTAATGATGCTGTAGGGTTAAGTCAAATTTGGTGTTGTTTTTTTTTAATACACATTTGCAGGTACCAAATTCAAGTACTCAGAGGTACAAGCATACTGCTCTACAGGACAGAGACCCAGAAGCACTCTGGCTACTGTACCACAGGCTGCTGCAAAGATCTAACTGCATGGACAGTTTCTCTGAATGTTGTCTCTCTTTTGCAGAATCCATGCATGAGTAAGACTACTACTTTTCTACACTCCTGATGATGAGTTTCCAAAGGCTATCAAGAGCAGCGAGGCTCACCAGGGAAGTGAGCACAGCTGATAAACACACCTAGGAACACATCTAGGAAACCACCTGAAATGTTACGTATGCTGCATATGGCGCGTTGCTTTATGGGATGTGCAGGTTCTGGGCTCCTCCTATGAAGGAATACCATGGGAAAAGTGAAATGAAAGCTAGAGCTCACACTGAGTTGTGATGATGGCCAGGCATGTAGTTCAGTTACAAGGAGTGCACAAGAGATGTCCTTAATTACAGTAGGAACAAGCAACAACACAGTATCGCTTCATCCAGCAACATCACCCAGGGACCTCCACTTCCCTGCACCCTCTCAAGAGCGTCCTCACAACTGTTTCTCTCCCAGATCTTGTACCAGATCTTGGCTGTAAGTCAATTTCCACCTCTGCCTTTGCTGCAAGTGAAAACAGTCCCCCCTGCATAGGGTAGGCCCCCTCTGTCTTCCTTGTAAATGTATGGAGGCCTTCCCAGCTTCTTTCATTGGCTCTGAAAGAAAACTTAGCACACGAACTACCCTTAACTAGGGCTGAGCTTGCTTGCCTTAAAGGTCAGAAACTCACTTGGGGATGGTCACCAACACAGTATCTTTCTAGTCATCTCTAGTTCATCTCAGATGGGCAAAAAATTTGGAAGAAAATTGTCACTAGAACATTTGTGCCCCAGAAAAACTAGAAGGAATTAGGGCCACAAAGATGATGAGAAGCCTGGAACATCTCCTGTACGAGGAAAGGCTGAGAGAGCTGGGACTCTTCAGCCTGGAGAAGAGAAGACTGAGAGCGGATCTTATCAATGTCTATAAGTAGCTGAAGTGCAGGGGCCAAATGGATGGGGCTGGGCTTTTTTCAGTCATACCCAGTGACAGGACAAGGGGCAATGGGCAAAAACTGGAACACCAAAAGTTGCAGACAAACTTAAGAAAAAACTTCTTGACTGTGAAGGTGACAGAGCACTGGGACAGGCTGCCCAGAGAGGCTGTGGAGTCTCCATCCCTGGAGATGTTCAAAACCCACCTGGACACTTTTCTGTGCAACCTGGGGTAGGGAACCTGCTTTGGCAGGGGGTTGGACTAGATGATCTCCTGAGGTCCCTTCCAACCCCCACCATCCTGTGATTCTGTAATAAGAAAATCCAGTAGTGTCACAAAATATGCATGAGTGGTTAAAAAAGGTAACTGGTAAATCACACACACACAGAATCACAGAATGTTAGGGATTGGAAGGGACCTCTTACAGATGAAGTTTCAATTCTGCAAGTAACTTTTGAAAAATCAATTTGATTCAGCACATTTCAGATGCACGGCCACATGTAAGTGAATTTGAACTGGATCTTTAGAGCACAGCTTGTTCATACTATTACATCTGTCGTAGTATCACTCAAGAATCAGAACTTCACATCATACGGCTTTGGTCAACAAGTACGAAAGCTGTGAGGCAGTGGCACAGGCTTCAGCACTGATAAATAAAGCGAGCTGCTGCTTTCACACTTCCTTTGAAAGATAAGATGACTGCGTTCCCCCGAGATGTGACATCGTCTAGTAAGTGAGTATTTTCTTGACTTCAGGTGAATAGATAGTTTAAAAAAAAACCACCAAAAAAAGAAGCTTTAACATTTAGAAATATTCAAAGTTGAAATATTTTGTTAGTATCATAGATATCCTCCATCCCGATAAGCAAGATTTAAGAGAAATGGTGGGTTTTTATTCAGCCTGTTGAAGATACTGATTTTGCATTCTAGTTTTGTTATTAAATCTTTTCCAGTGCCCCATTATTGCAGTAGATCTTTGGTTTACACTCGCTAGTTTTTGAAAAGGGCCTTTAATATTTTATATTTTTTTTATATCTGGAACTCTGAGGGTATATGTGAATTATCTCCTGCCCATTTATGCTCTAGACTCTGTTTTTCCAACTGGAATGTGCTTGAAAATCTCGCATCTCTTCTAACAAATAATGTATGAGATAATTTCAACTTTTCTGATTACAATCTCAAAACCCTTTTGTAATGAACCTGGCTTATTTCAAGGCAAGGCACATCACATGATGCTGATGAGCATGGAGTACCATTTTTCTATTTATAGTCTGCATTTATTGTGATGGCAAATTATGCTGTTTATTATTATATGCTAAACTTACTTTTTATTTAGACTTATTTTAAAAAGAGTAAACTATATTGGATTTTCTGTTTGGAACCCTGACACAACAGAAATGAACAACTGGCAAGGTCATTATTACTGCTTTTTACACCCTGCTTTTCAGGTGCAGCTACTGAAGCAGGATAGCTGATCAGCACAACAGGAATTAGACCATGGAGACCAAATGGGGAAAAAACCCTGTGGCACTGAGACTACCAGCTCCTGGGATACCCACTTCCCAGACTGGTGGAAATGATAAGCAGTCTTCTTCTTGTGACGGAAGAACTATCTATCTATGCTGGGGCAAACCAGAATAGCATGTTCTGACTCTCCATTACTTGGCTTGCATTTCCATTTAATCAATTCTAGAGTTAATTGTAACAAAACCTGACATAAGTGAATCCTGTATTAACACACTGGACACTGCATGGCTCTTTTTAGCTCATTTTTCTACCTGTGATGCTTTTCCTATCCAATTTAAGCTTCTATTAAACTTAAAAATCTTTTTAGAACCTAGACTGGGTACATACAAACTGTAACAACACTTCCCTGCAAATAAACTCATCCTGCCCACTGTTCTCCTGACCAGGGAACCTTCTTCTTCCTCCTCCCTCCCTCCTTCTTTCCTTTCCTTCCTCCCTAACAAAATCCTTTCCCACTATCTCACTTCAGGTAGAAAGATTACTACTGTTCTTTCCTTTGAGGAAAGCTGTAGTAACTCCATGAACAGTCTGACAAGGTGTAATAACTCTGAAGTCTGAGACAACGTACAATGTGGATTCTAACCTAGGTGTGTGAGTAACAAGCAGGATATTTCAAGAGCTTCTGGCTAGAAAAATATCAGGTAACATAATAACAAGGCATCATGAATAAATGAAAACCTTTTTTAAAGAAACTGCTGGACTTCCTCTCTCTTAAAATTTACCACCCACTCTTGGAAAAAAAAAGGAAAAAGCTTACTGGTCTGTATTTTAGTGGACTAGAGAGCTAGTCTGCAGAAGATAAGGATCTCTTCCTATGTTTTTAACTTCCATAACAGGTTATACACACTTGCAGCACATTTTCAGTAGCAAAGATGGAAAATACTTGGCAGAGGTGGTCAGCTCATTCAGAAACTGTTCAGCCATATAATAAAGGATCAGCCTTTAAGAGAGCCTTCTTGAACACCTCTGAGCTGTCACTTCAGTTCATCTAGAACACAACAATTGAGATTAAGAAGTTTTCAGCTTCAGCAGCAATTTTCTCAGCTCCTTGTTGCTCTCTAGCATAAAAAATTAAAAAAAAAAAAATTTGGGCTAGAAATTTCCACACCTGACTTTGCCTTAAAATGAGTGCATAGTTCTGCAAGGTTAACCTATTTTTATGCATGTAGGACTTTTTATTTTTATTTTTTTGCAGAGGGGCTGATAATCAGTCAGGTATTTAAGACTCATTTCTCCTGCTGCCAAACCAAGAAGGAACTTAAATGGCTATATTCAGACAGGAGAGAGAAGGAAAAGAAAGAAAACTTAAGAACTTTAAGATTACAAGAATGTTAACATGAAAATAAATTCCTAGAGCAGCAGTTGAAAGGTCACTTTCAAGGACGCCAATTAATCCTTTGCTATCTGTTTGGTGGTGTCAGGCCCTTCATCTCTTTCCTAAAACATTGATCCATAAATTCAGAATTTAGAAGTCCAGCTAAATGAGAAATGTAAAGCTAAAAGTCCAGCTAAATGACATGTCAAAAAAAAAAATTTAACTTATATCTCCTGTGCAGCATTCTGTTCTCTATTGATATAGATCTGCTCATGTCAGCATATAGGGGAGACAAGAATATCAGAAGCCAGTGCCTGCTATTTGTATATAAGAAAATTGTTCACAGCTGGACTTCAACAATTATCCCAGCCTGGCTTCTCTAAGAAATCCATAGTAAAACTCCCATCTACTTTCACCAAAACCAAATTAAGAGTATTACTGCCTGAACTTGAAAATTCCTATGAAGAACATTAATGTAATAGGAAAAAAACTAGTTAAAATTTTAAATATTTTGGTCTGTCTAGAGAGTTAGTGCTGTATCTTATTATGGCAAAAAACTATTATGGATTAAAAATTCTTCTTTTAAAAGAGTCAATAAGACTCTCCTAAAGGCTAATTTCCAGTAAGCTTGGACACCAGAAAGAACTATACTATTTTAGTAAGGCTACTAATGTAATGCTATGTTGTCAAACTGTGTAACTGAGTACCTGGTAATTACTTCGTTTCAGCTTAGTGGAAAACGAAAAGTCATTTACAAGCAAGAGGCAAGAAACATCAGCTGACTGCTGTTGCAAAGAGTATGTAAAATAAAACATAGTGCTTCCATTTATTTCAGTATACTTTGCCTTGATGTTGTTGTGCCTAACTTACTTTTGCTGCTGTCTTCATCCCGTGCTTGGCCTCCACGTGAATTGAACAGTAAAGTATTTCATAAAGAGCCAGTAACTTTTTGAAGGGGCACACAGTTTTATAGTACTTCTCTGGTGACTAATAGACTGCACTGTCTTGCCTCTGGTGACTAACAGACTGCACTTCTTGGCCTCACAGAAACTACTTTTTCGGATAACGTTCAATCTGCTGTACATTACAGCTCGCACAGGCGAGGCCTCTCAGCCAGTCTAAATGATTCAGAGGTGAATTGTGCCAATCTTCTGCTGAGTAATATCTTGTAGTAGGGTCAGTCTCACAGAAACATGCTTTTTGCAGCTCAGGAAAAAGGACATTTAACGTTAGGCTACATCTTTGAGAACCCCATTAACCTGTCTCACGAAAGATTTTATGTGCAAGGTAAACAGCTTGCAAATCTGATTGTTTCTGTGCCTTGTTTGTTTCTGTTTCACTGTTACTCTCCTGTGCTGGCGACAGCCCTGACAGAAAGCAGACCCTTGCCTTGAAGAGCTAACGCTGCAATACCGCATCAACTCCTGAGAGGGGGTGTGATGGAGGGGAACTGACAGGGAAGTGGTCACTCCTTTAATAGTAATACAAATGTTTGAAACAGAACAACTAAAATCATACAGGGAAGAGACATTAATGAAAATCTGCCATGTTTTGAGTAAGTCACTTGAGAAGGGGAAAGGAAGAAGTGCCACCACCTGATGATGAGACTAACATCTAAACAACAAGCTAAGACTGAACCACAAGCTCAAAGTGCTCGCTCATGGAGCCTCGAACCCCACTTTTTGAGACAGGTCTAACCAAGCCAAATGACTCTGACGCTTAGAGCCTGAAACCTGAGCCTAAAGGCTGAATTTGGCAAAAATAAAGTCCGTGTCTCTCATGGGTTTCCCAAGAAACCCTCAATCCAAACACTAAGCCACTGATGTATTTGAAAGATTAATCCATATTCTGCTTTCAGAAGCCTCTTTGTAATTGTCTTGTTCATTTTTTGAGTCACCATCAGTATAAATCTGGTAACAGATGTGTTTAAATCCACCAGCTGTTGTGTTTGGGTCTTGGTTGTCAAACAGCCCCCTTTAAACAAATATATTTGCTTTTGTCTGTCATGGATGTTTTACTACAGCTCTTCTCTGTTAGTATTTAGGATTTTGTCTGTCTCCTGGATGCATTAGGATCTAATTATTTGCTGAGTAAAAAAATCTTGATGTGTCTCCTTACAGGCTGCCTTTAAGAAGAAGGCAACATGGCAACTACAGATGCTGATAACTTTTATGGTAACTTCTCTATCCTTGATCCCAATGAAAATGGAAGCGAGAATTTTCACACATTTGCAAGAGTCTTCCTGCCCTGTATGTACTCAGCTGTTTTCATCCTTGGGCTAGCAGGAAACGCGCTGGTCTTCGTCATACTAGTTTTCTATGAGAAACTGAAGATGCTGACAGATGTATTTTTGTTGAACTTGGCTGTAGCTGACTGGGTCTTCCTTTGGACCCTGCCATTCTGGGCATATTCCGCTGCTCAGGAGTGGACTTTTGGCACCGTGACGTGCCGTATTATACGGGGCTTGTACACTCTGAATTTGTACACTTCCATGTTAACTCTAACGTCTATCACCTTTGACCGGCTTATTGCTATTACTTTTGCCACCAAAGCACATATGTGTCAAACCAAACGCATGACATGGGGCAAATTAATCTGTGTCTTCATCTGGGTGATCTCACTAGCATTTGCCGCACCACAGTTTATTTTTAGTGAGGTGTTTAGTATTGACAAGGCAATATGTCAGGAAAAATACCCAAACCAGCCCACAGAACTGGTTCTTGAAGTGATCCAAGTGACCCTCGGCTATTTTATTCCCATGCTAGCCATGATCATCTGCTACTCACTAATTATCAGAACCTTACTGCATGCCAGGAGTTTTCAAAAGAACAAATCTCTAAAAAAAATATTTTCTGTAGTTGCCATATTTATTCTTACTCAGTCACCCTATACTTTCTTGAGACTAATAAAGATCATAGACTGGAGCTTTAACTTGAACAGTAGCTTTGAATATGCAATCGTCATAACAGAAGCTCTTGCTTATTTCCATGGCTGTCTTAACCCTGTTCTTTATTTCTTCATGGGGGTGAAATTCAGGAGGAACTTACAGAAAATTATTAAAAACTCAAGATGCACCAAACGGCAAGTTACGGCTAAACAGTGGCAAACCACTGAAGAGGAAGGCTCTAAAACTTTTATGGCCTCAAATACTGCAGATGTAACAAGCATGTACCCACTGTAAAACTGCCTAGAGAATCTGGCAACTATTTGCAGCCTTTTTTTTTTTTTAAATACTGAGATAGGTGGAGTGCATGAAAGAGGAAATGCAATCCCATCAGTAAAGACATTGTGATTGGCTTTAGGCCATCCTATCTTAATCAGGATACTTCAGTGTTTCCTGCTTTCCCTGGTTAGAGCCTATCCTAAGACAAAGCTGGTAACTGAGTTAACTGTGCAGAAGATCTTCAAAAAGTATATAAGAAACAAGAGATAAAATGCTGTTCTTTGTGGCATAAAGCTAACTTGGACTTCATGACTCCAGAGGGGCTGACGACATTCACCAAACCTCTGGCCTGCTGGTTTTCCATGAAAAGTGCTTGTTAACAAAATAATTTATGAGTTTTGGCTCAAAGATATTACAGATTTTAGTTCAGCTCATTAATTTCATGTGAATTCTTGGATTAAAAAAATACATATCTCAATTTCATGCTGGGTCCCATGTGTGGCTGTTTTTTTTGTGGGTTTTTTGTATTTTTCCATTTGGGAGAACGTCTCCACGCACACTCCTTTAGCATTCACCTACAGTTTCTGTAATAAAGCAGCATTTTCATCTGCCTTCCATCTCGTATCAAGTGCATGGCCTGAATCTCCCATACGCAGCTTTGTATCTCAACTCTAATAACAGAGCTCATGCTGCCAGAGGACTAGGCTCCCTGTCAACACAAGGGATAATCATACTGCACGTGGCTCTACCACTGAGCGGTGTTTCCTTAGACACAAACTCTTACACCCCAATTCCCACACATTCTTTTCACTATGACATCTTTCTAGTTTGTTTTTCCTAGCATTGCCTTGGCACCCTAATTCCCTTGCCATGAAACTGTGGATTCCTTAGTTGTTCTCCTTCCTTGTTCCCACAGTCTCTCCTTTCCACTCCTGGCCTTTTCACTTCCCAGTGGAAGGAAAAAAGGTGCACGGGGTGGGGGGGAAGTGCAGGTTGGGGCAGAAAGTAGGTGAAAGCTCTTGCAGAGAGTAGCAGAAAAGAAGTGGAAACTGGAATAGGGAAAAGAAAGAAGGGATGTTGGAGAGGAGCAGGGGGACGGCTTTAAGCATCTGTGGGCTGCCTGTGATAAAGGCAGGGTTGGGTCCAGCCCAAAGGCTAAAAGTCCTTTGCATCACAGCTTTGAAATATCAGTTTTAACCTGTTTCAAACCATCCATGCAATAACCACGCTTACTCTGTCTGGATGTTGCTTTTCTCCCCATTAACACTCAGTCCTTCCTACCAGATCACTGCAGCTCAGTGGTACCTGACCCTTATCGGCACTACTGTGCCCATGTCACCTTTTTCCCCTTAGAAAACAGCTGCTTCAGCAATCCTTTCCTTACTACACAATCTCTCTTGTTTCTCCTATAGTGAAATGGTGCAAGATCCTTAAAAACAAAACTAGGAAGGAACTTGCTGTGTGGCAAGTAAAGCTGCTCTCCCAACACACAGCTGCAAGGCAGGCTTTGCCAGCAGAGGCTGACCAGAGGTGCTCCTGTCTGCACTCCTCTCCCGGCTGGTTCTGTGCAGAGCAAAGGCTTCAGACCACAGGCAGTTCCCCGTTTTGGCTACACTTGCCAGCCGGGGCATGTGAGCTGTAATTAGGTCACGAAATAGTGTTATGAGTCATTAAGAAAAAAAGAATCCAAAACAAAGCAACCACAGTGCAGACAGGCTGAGATGTCCTACCAAGGTGTGAATAAACTCTTTGTTCCCGCACTAGGGTAGTGGTAATTTTTTTTAAAATTTTCTTGTCTGTAATTTTTTTTTTAAACTTCTGCCATCTATGATCTTGACTCTGCTGCTGCAACATTTATTGCAGGCATGTAATTTCTACAATGTGTTAAAATGGAAATACAGCTCACTGGTTTACCCCAGGGACTTTGACCCAATGCTGCGCGATATCCTGACCTTTGTTTTAGAACACAATCTGCAAATGTGAATGTTTTAGAAATAAAAAGTGTTTAAAGATACAACACTTCAAGAGTCAACCCATGAGCCCTGCAGAAGCAGGATGACCGTGATTGCACAACTGATCTCAGATACTTGTATTAAGATTAAAATCGGGTTGCTCCAAACTCGCATGACAGATCTGAAAGCACGAAGAAACTGCTGCTTAATCCTAACTGTGAGGAAAAAACTGCTTCAAGGTCAGTCAGAGTTATACTGGTACAGCATCTATCTTACCTTGCCACACACCTCTGCAGCTCATGAACCAGATGAGTTTTATTTGGCTCTGAACTGACTTGTACCAATAAAGGCAGTCTCTCAAAATCTGCTGTTATGAAGTAATATTTCTGTAATCATTTCATGTCCCTTCAAGGAAAGAACTACAGGGGCAGGGTTGAGTAAAGAGAACAAGTGAAAATTGGAATAACAGTACAGTAAACATCAAAAGGGACGAACAGAAAAGAAAAAGTCCTTTAAGACAGTTCACTGCTTTGAATACCAGCTCCCATTTCCAGTCCAGCAAGGACTCACATCCAGAATAATGTAAGGCCAGTGCAAAAACCTCATCCAGATACTCAGACAAAGTAAGGCCATAAGAAACTGTCAACACAGCACATCTATTGCAGATCTCCTCTGTCTATTCGGACCAGCTAGCCTCCGTTCTCTTCCCTTTCTTGGCTGCTTGTCTCTCTCCCTTTTTACTACTGCACCAATTAGTTCAAATCTCTGGCAAAAAATTAATAGCTTAGACTATTTTCAGCAGAATCTCAATACAGACATTATCAGTACATCTGCTATGGGCTGCTGTCAAAGACAGACAGAGGTTTAGTGTAACCTTTGCTCACATTCAGCACAGTGGTTCTGGTATGTTTACCCACAAACACCCATGGTATCAAATGCCGCATTATCTGCTTGTGTGCTAAGCTACAATCAGGCTTGGGGTGACTGGCTTCTCCTCACCACAGAAACAAGCGAGAAAACTTCTGCGCTGTCATAATCAACACTGTGCTCTGCTTTTTTTCTTTAGCACATACCACAGGTGCCACACCGTTATCTGACTCACGGATCAGTTTCTGCATCTCTCCCGTAACACAAAACCATGTAATCAACACAAGATGCTCAAGTCATCCACAGTGTAAGAAGGTCAGTCTCCTGCATTCTCCAGCACTCAGCCTAGTGAGACCTTTCAAACACTGTAAGTGTCACAAGGAAGGGCAGGTGTGGTCTGTGTGCTAGTGAGACCTTTCAAACACTGTGTCACAAGGAAGGGCAGGTGTGGTCTGTGTTCTCTGCAAAGTATGTCTCAGACTCCAAGTATGACCACAGCAGGACTCTTCCCTGGCTTGTGACACCAATGAATAAAGAGCAACAGATATAAATAGCAAACACTATTTCCTGTCTTTCCTGCCTATAATCTGTGAACAAGGGGAGATGGACAGCCTTTAAAAGTTTACATGGTGCAAGTAGGATGCTGCATGCTGCCCTTCAAGAATTCCATCATTCATGGCAATCCTTCCTTCCAGCCTAAATACTTTGTGGGACAAGATTAACCTAGCCCAATCTCAAATTGAAAAGAATGGTGACACACACTTATTTCTTTTCTTCTGGTTGTATTCTCCAGTGACATCCCCCCTGCAGAGAGCACGGATTCAAAGTAGTACACACTTTTCTTCCTTCTTAAAACAAACAAAAATCCTCCACTGCAAATTATCCCTTCCCGAAACAAAGGTGACACTAACTTCACAAGAGCACTGCGAGGCTCACTTCATTCATGTCTGCCCAATGCATTATAAACATGAACATGCCATCAGTGTCAACAGTATACAAAATAGGCTGAACACACAGAAGTTATTTATGAAGAAACAAAAATGAGGAATTATGAAAAGATTTTTTTTCCAAATAAACAAACCTGTACAGTCTGCCTTCTACCCAAATGGCAAGTCACTGTGGTTTATGCTGGAAATGGGCCTGCTGAGGGCAGAAGAGGCTAGGTCTATTTTCTCAGCAGCTGGCTGGTTCCTCTGTGGCTATTTAAGTTTAGCATTTAGATTTACTACACTTATTTTTCTGCTCAGAAACAAAAAAAGTACAGGTGAAATAGCTCTTTTTTTTTTTTTCTTCTCAAATATGTAAGTTTTGGAAAGACAATATATTTTACAGAACAGAATTTTTGGAAAATATTTTAAAAATAGTAAAAAATATTTTGTATATAAATGGATATAAATTAATGCTATAATACTACAACATAGTTTGCAAACCAAGTACTCGGATATCCAGATGGCCTTAGATCCTCTTCATTGCTAATTTATGTAGAAAAAGAAGTAAAAAAATGTCTGAAATCTGCATTCACTCTAATTTTCTTAAGAAAAAAAGAACAAACTTGTGCCAAATTTAGCTATGCAGTTCCTGTTCTCTTTCTTTTCATTAAGCTGTTATCTTTGAAGTAGTAAGGAATCCTACAGACACAGACGAGTTATTTCACATTCAGTTCAAAGACGCCTATTATAAAAAGAGTACACCTTTCCTTATCTTTTTCCCCACCTCTTTATTCTTTTGATACTAACTAATGGTGAGTTTGACAGAGTATTGCTCAGCTCCTATTATAAGCCAAGTGTGAATGACCAATGATCCAGTGTGGCTTGCAAGCTGATTTTAATGGTGACAGTTGGCCTGATGACAGCACAGATCTGGAACTACCCCTCTGTGCTGTGGTGCAGCAGGTGGAGGGAGAGGATGGAACAGTTTGGATTTACTAGATTTGATGCTGACTGTGCAAATAGGCCGAACTTATTTAGTGTTGGTCTACTGAACATATGGCTGGGAACAGAAGTGTCTCCTTTTTACGCAGAGGTTAGCTATCCCCACTGAATGAAGGAAAAAACAACACTCCAAACAAAACTCGAGGGTCCCATCTCCACGAAGCAGTGTTTACTCACAGATCTGTCACGCTTTGATCCAGAGACTCTCCCTCCATCTGACTTTCATTATGGAGAGAGTCTGATTCCTGTACTTGGCACAGCTCCTCATCAGTGATTATATCAAATGCTGCATCATCTGGTGGTTTAGAGGCTTCACTTGCAACTGTGCCATAAAAGGACATGAAAAGAAACATAAAAGAGTATTAGCTGGTTGTCTGGAAAACAAACAAGTAAAACCCTTACAGGTGAAGACTGGGTCATTCCTCTACCTTTACAGAAGCATTAGGTAACTACCAGAACCGACTGAAAACCTCAGGCTGACTGACACTCATTTAATATACATGCAAATTTCTGTCAACACCAATCAAATTCAAAGATGGGACCAGTCCTACCCTGAAAACACTCCAAGAACATGCAGATCCCTGGTGCAGGAGGTGGCCATGTAGTTTCTCGGAGAATATCTAAGAGCCCTACTTATTTCTCCACAGCATGCAAACAATACACTAACCAAAAGCTCTCTCGGATGGTGACACAGGTGATTCCGATGAAGCTGGTGATCCTTCCTGGTTGGCACTGGATCCAGAGTCATCTGCACTGTCCACAATGACTCTAGGCTTATTAAAGCAAGCTCTGCAGCAACGCTCCTTTTTTCCACCAGGCTTTGTCACCATGTAGTTGTTGCAGCAGTAGTAGCAGAAAATTCGACCGCACATTCTAGAAATTATTCAAAACCAAAGGTGTTAGAATAGTACCACATCCAAGTGGAACACATCTGCGTGAGAGAGTCTGGGGCTTTGTCACATAGGTCTTGAAAACACCACATCTCTGCAAAAGCCCGAACGCTACATCCATGGCAGAACTCGTAATACAGACTGTGCTGCTTTCTCAGGTGAAGCAACTTTTCTTGACAAACACAGGACAGAAATTCACATCCATACTTTGCTGCTTTAACAAAAAGGGAAAACAGAAAAAAACCCCATAAAAATACTTTAAAAAATAAATCCACATTTAAATATTAAGATATAAAATGTATACCCACAAACATCCAATACAAATTAATAATATATATATATTAAGTACATATGAAGGAAATGTACTTAATAATATTACACAGGCCAAATCTTGTACTCAGTTAGAGCAAAACTCTATTTGATTTTAAGGACTCTAAGAACACATCTACATGTCTCTACTTAGTAATCACCCCTCTCTCCTTCAGACAGAAGGGACAACATCAGACACATACGTGTACATCATGCCTCCTGCCCTCTCCTCTCTGCAGCCTCTCAGTATTAAACCTGTCAACTGCTTTTTAATGAATGTGTTAAGATTTTCATGAAGAAAAGCATCCAGCAGGGATACTGTTATTCACAAAGTCTTAGTGGTTTTGTTTTTCATAGTAATTTAAATCATGAGTAGGTAAAAACACGAGCAGGTTTCACAGATTTTAGTAGAAATGAGTGTTTTGTAAGTTGTTGCTGGAAATTACTTCACTATTCATTAATCCCCATCAGATGTTCCCTACATTCATATACAATTGCAACAGGTCCAGTACTACATACCTGATATGATGAATCAGGTCGTGAGGATAAAGAAGAGTAAAGATCCAAAACAAACACAGCACTAAGACCCTGAAATGTATCCACTTTAATATATTTAAATAAATCTAGATTGGGTAACTGATAACTCCAAGCAGGTTAAGTGTTGGAGGAAATAATTTAATATTAACTTTTTTAAAAAAGATTACTTTGCAATCAGTAATTATCTCTGAACATACCTAGTGTAAGTAACCAAATTTATAGTTGCACAGCATCTTGGATTTGTTCTGGAATACTTCTATCACAACAGCAAAACCATCTTAGTGAATATTGTTTACAGCATACCCAGTGCAGTGCATAATAAATATATTAAAACACAGTCCTTTAAAGAAACACACTATGTAGGGTGTGATTATCTTCGTTTCCAGAAATGAGAAACTGACAGACTCCCCAAGTAAGTTGCATTCAGATCTTTGCCTTAATACATATCAAGGGACCTTTCTATTGATGTCTCTTATCCACTTGTAAGCTTATGTGTTCTTTCAGCCTCTACAATATGCTGTATCAATGATTTTGACCAACGGACTGTGAACATTAAGAAGTATTTCATCCATGATCATACTGAATTCTGCTCTTGAAGAGCGGAATAGAGTTCAACAAACTGACCTGCAGTGGTGTCGGCGCACCATCCATGAGAACTCTCTCTGGCAGTCCAGACAATGATTAACCTCTGTGTCCCCCTGCCACCTTTGCTCTGCACTAAGCTTCTGCTGGAACTCCAGAGCATCTGATTTTTGCCACAAAGCATCCTTATCTCTGCAGAGACACAGTTAAAAGAAAGAAAAATACACAGAACTGTTAACCAATCTCAATTTGAATGCTGGTGAAAGCTTCACAGTAAAAATTATTTTGCTGTAACTTCTGGGGAGCTTTCAGGAATGAAGACAGATCAAGAAACCCACCAAAGCTCTTGGGAAGGGGGTGAGAAAAACACGTACCATGCAGAGAACTACATATTTTTGCAAAACAGGCAGCAAATTAAGGAGGAGACAATATTGTGTGTTGTATTTTTGATTGCATTATGGAAATGCAAAATTCCAACTGCTGAACTTGGCCATTACCTGTACTTCAGTTCAGGAATACAAGACTGAACCACTCAGGCAGTATTCCTTAACATCCTAAGACAGAATTTTAACTTCTGCTTGCTGTTTATTTTTATGCCAACCTGATAAGTTCTATCAAACGTTCTTCAAGGAACTGTTTTGTTCTTGTCAGGTCATCCAGTTCAGCAAACAACTTCTGGTCGCTGCTATCTTTGTCTGCTGCCACCTTGCTGAGCTTCTCACTGTAATCCATGACCTTCTCTTTTGCTTCATCAGCTTCTTTTTGGATCCTGATAAAATACAAAGGCAATTAAGAATCATTTTTAGCTCATGTGCATTCAGGTCTTCCCCACGGAAGAAAAGGGCCCTTCACCCTTTGGTTAGGGTAGCTGGTAGGTTAGATGGTAGCTTCCATCTAATTGTTCTCTCAGTGTGCTTATTTCCTATAGCTAGCTAGAATGTCTCCAGTTTTCTGCATCACTGAAAGTGCACACATTATTCCATTATCTGGTGAACACAGCCAGCAATCAGCAATTTCTTGGATGCCCTGCTTCTAGTGAGGCTTATAATGGCTACCACACTGGGAATAAAAATAGCGTTCTTGGAAGCTAAGGTGATCAGCAGCTGCAAACTGAGCCAAACAGGGAAAGTCCTATAGCTGCAGGTTGCCCAGCATTTGCAGGTCACACACAAAAGGACCATGTAACACATACTCCTCCACAGCCTTCATGTTCACAAAAGGGAAGTAAACCAGTTTCTCACTACATTCTTTTAACACAGATGCAATTGAAAAACTAAAGGTTAAGACAACTCAGTTCACTGGGCAGTCACTGGAAAGGAGTGTCCCCTGGAAGCTTCCAAGAGCGGAAGTCTTGGCTTGATGATATGGTAATTTCAGTACTTTGTGTCCTAGCGATGAATCAAAAATGCTACAGTAACACAACACAAAGGGCTGAGCTGGTCTGAACTCAGCCAACTCAGCTGAACTCAAATATTTTGATGAGTTAGATTTTCTACAGATAACCTTCAGCATAGATCAAGAATTATCAGTCTTCCTACAAAGACAGATGATATCAGCACAAAAAGTTAAAAATACATATGCTGTGGTTAACCCATTAGACTCTGTGTGAGCCCATGGCTCATGAAGATCTATTTCGGACTGCCAGATAATCCGTACCACAGGCCGACATTACAGACCTTGGAAACATAGTCTGTGTTAGATACTTAAAACTGATACAAACTCTAACAAAGACGTGCATTCAAATAGTTCTTACTGATTCCCTGAAACTCCATGGAGAGGAGAGTAAAAACAAACTGTCAAAAAGCACTACTTTTCCTTTTCTTATGAAAAAAAAAAAATGAACCAATATTAGTGTTTTAATTTAATGACTAAGCTATCAGGTAAAAGGAGGTTATGAAATGTCTTTTAGTTTCGTAAGGGAAGACATACAATGAATTTACATCATCAACTAAATTAACAATACCATAAAACTTAAACATTGCATTCATGTGTGCTGTGTCATTTACATATTTCTCATTTCAAGTATCAATCTGGTATTTGCCCTAAATAAACCCTGTGGCATATGCTACTTCATAAAGCAAAGCAATTTGCAATATGCTATGGTTATTAGCCCCTTGCTTGGCGTACAATTAACGGCTTGTGTAAAGAACCCCAATTCCCACCTTTCCAAGAGTTCTCTGAGAGATGTCACCTCCTCTTCCTTCTGCAGCCGAACAGATTCTGATTCGGACAACTGCTCTCTTGCTTCATCCAGTTTTCTAGACAAACTCGTGTTTGCAGCCTAGTGAAATAAATTACTGTATTTCCTTCCATATAAAAATAACACTTTAACAAGCATTTGACAATTACCAAGACGTCCAAACAATGCTTTAACAGAATCAGTTAAAGCCAAACAGCCAATTAAGATATTATTGTATAAGCAGACACTAATTAGTTTTGTACTAGTGATTGATTACTTCTGTCACACCAAATAAGACACAGACTCTAAAGTAAGATAGTATTAAGCCTGCAATTCTTATTAGGGGAGGTCAGTTGAGCTTCTGCCTCTTTATCAAGGAAGATCTCTCAAAGATAAAGGCAAAAGAATAGGCCCTAAAAGTTTTTTCATCACCTAAAAGTTTCAAAAGAAAAAAAATAAAAATGAGGAAAATCTTGTTTAATAAAGCTATATGGAACATGAAAGACAATGGAAACAAAAAATTCTCACAGCTAGCCTCTCCAGAGAAGTCTGTTTCTGTGAGCAAGCAGGGCCAAGTTCAATAACCTTAACTTTATTCTTTCTGCATTCCTTACACCTCTGTAAGATCCTCCTAACTCAACTGTTTGATAAATGCATTGGAAAAATCCTATTTTTTTTCTGGCAGGGTTATTTCTCAGCCAGAATAATTCTCTGATTCAGTGCCCCTTGGAGCCTGAAAACAGCTGGATCCACACGTGTAGCTGGGTGCAGTGGAAATGCAGGGCCTAAGACAGACCTTTTAAACCTGCACCCCATTTAAGAAGTGTGCACATAACCAGGTCTTACGTAAAATGTGACTAGCTTTCAAAGCAGGACAAATCCTAAGTGTTGGATAATGCTTTTCATAATCTCTGTTTCAGTGGCTAACTTTCAGCTGCTGAGTATTTTGTCTGTAGCACCTGTATTTATTCAAGGGCATTCTCAGACTCACAGCCAGCCATGACAAATGCTGCCTGCCTTCTCAATCATAACACTAACGCTTGCCGACACCAACGCCTCTGTCTTTTAATCTGATCAAGCACCTACTTGTAACTCTGCAATCTCTTCCTCTGCAGCATGCTGTTGTCGCTTCTGCTCCTCGAGTTGCTCTCTTATTTTCCCACACTCTTCACTGACAGCCTAGCAGAGAGATTGAGCCAGGAGTTAGCATTCCTCTAGGGGCCACCCCTTCATCTACGAAATTCCCAACTATGAATCATAAGTGCTGGTACTGCTATGTATGGGATCAATGCAGGACCAGCGTCAGGCTCATGAAAGACAGCTAGAGACACCCAGCTCATGGATTCAAGGAAACTCCTCTCTGTGGTGGCAGACTAGCTGTGTTTCACTGTTATTTGCTATGGACTAATACAGTCACAACAAAAAGAAGGCCCAACTTGTGCTACGCCTTGGCTCAAAAGAGTGAGATAGAATAAATAATACTGAGGTTTAAGAAGCCTTTATGAAAATGAAACATGAATGAATGTACACCATTTTCTCAAACTCATGGGATTTCTGGATACCACCATAAGCCTTCAGTTTTAAGAAGTAGTGTTGCAGGGGTGGGGAACAGGTCTTGCAGTGTTCCTACCAAGAGAAGTAGTGTTGCAGGTGTGGGGAACAGGTCTTGCAGTGTTCCTACCAAAAAAATAAAAAAAAATCACAGCTGTGACCAGAGGAAATAATTACAGAAGACACCCTTTCAGTGCCAACATAAGAAGTCGCCACCCTCTCCATTACTGGCTGGCTTTTCCATATCACATGGCCTCTCTACTGTGCTTGGATGCCCACACTATACATCTCCAAAAAACTCTAAAGAGTTATTTTACCGCAAATAGGCCTAGGTCATGAATGCAGAGACATTTTCAGATCCCAGACTAAGGCTAGTTGTGTGCTAGTCTCAGAGTCTGACCAACACAAACCTTAGGACTTCATGCAGTAATTGCTGCAGCAGTTGGTAAAGTAGGGGAAATCCTGCACAGCTCCCTCAGCTATAATAATCACATTAATTTACCTTGAATTTTGTCTGATAATTTAAAATCTCTGTGCTCATTTGAAATTTTATTGCAGACAGCTCTTCTTGGCTGGTCTCTTGGAAACTCTGTGCCTGTTTCTTTACTGTCTCCAACTGCAATTGCAGATCTGGGACAGCTGCTGCACATATTTGAGCCTCCTCTAATTTCTCTTGCAGGCTCTTGTTCTCCTGTCTGAGATTTGAGATGTCAAGCTTCAGCTTCTCCTGTTGCTCTGCTGCCTGTTCTTCCAGTTCTTTGAGCCTTTCTGTGGCCTGGGCTAACTGCTCTTCCGCATCCATCTTTTCAGAGGTCAAGGCACAAATCTGAATACCAAGTTCAGCCATATCTGTGTTGGTCCTGTGGAGGAGATCTTTGTTTTCTTCATTTACCATTCTAGCAGCTTTCAAGTACTGCTTAACCTTGGATAGCTCTTCCTTCAGGTTCAGCAAATTGTTTTCCAGCTCAGCTTTTTGACGGGCTGCTGTCTCCTGCTCTTTTTTGAGCACTTCTTCTCTTTCTTTACATTTTACCAGTTCTTGCACATGGTTTCTGTTGAGTGACTCGCTTTGCTCTTTCAGCTGCTGGACAAGCGCCTTCTGCTCCCCCAAGACAGTCTCTGTGATTGCCAGCTCACCTCTCATCTTCTCTCTCTCATCAGTGGTCTGCTGAAGCTTGACTCGCAGGTCGAGGACTTCTGCTTGCAGCCTAGACACTTCACTTCGGTTGACCTCCAACTGCTCTTCACTCACGGTCAGTCTGGAGGCTAGCTCTTTTGCTTCCTTCTCCAGAGAACCTGCCTGCTGTAGGTGGTGCTTTTCCACTGATTCCTTTTCTGATGTGAGGGATTCAATAAGCTTTGTCTGATGAAGGCAAGTCTTTTCGACACTGAGCTTTTCTTCCTCAAGAGTCTCTGCCTTCTTCCTATGTCTTTCAGCTTCTACTCTTAGCTGCTCACACTGGCTCTCCGTGCCTTGCAGTTCTACTTCCTTCTCTGTGAGCTGTGTCTGGAGACACTCTTTGCTTTCCTTCAAGATGCCTAAACTTTTTTCCATTTGTAAACTATGCTGTTTGGCACTCTTCAGCTGTCCTTCAAGTGAGGCATAAGACTCCTTGGTGGTCTCTTCTCTTTGCTTTAATTCTTCATATTCTGAGTGTAGAACCTCTAATCTCTCCTCCAGAATTTGGCTTTGCCTCCTGGCATTCTGCAAATCTTCATCCAGCTGTCTGTTTTTGCCCCGGAGCTTCTTCTCTTTTTCATCAACTGACACCAGGGCATCATCTATCTCACTCTGAAGCTGTTTCTCAGAGGCTCTCAGCCTGGCTACCTCAGCTTCCAGGGAAGCTTTAGAAGCTTCCAAATTTTTCAGCTTCTCTTCCATCTTCTTCTTGGACTGCTGCAAATTTGCATTCTCTGCTTTCAGCTTCCTGCTCTCTTCATCCATTTCGCTCACTGCAGAGTTTTGCTGCTCCATCTGCTCCTCCAGGTCCTTGACTTTCTGGCTGAGATGCTCTTTCTCAGCCAAGATTTTCTGGTTTCGCTCCTCAAGGCTACGCACAGTCTGACTCACCTTTGTTAAGTGACCCTCCTGTAGTTCAAGTTGCTCTGCTTGCAACTGGGCTTCCTGCTTCATTGCTCCTTCCCTCCGACCATACTCCTCCTCAAGTTTCTCTTTTTCTTTCCTTGCTTCCTCAAGATTTTTTTCCAGTGACCCCACCTGAGCCAGCGACCCCATTACCTGGGTCTGGAGATCAGCCATCTCCTTTCCTTTCAGGGTCAGGGCCTTCTGAAGTGCATCCATTTCCTTGGCCATGGTTTCCAGGCTCCCAAGCAGCTTTTCACTCTCTTCTTTGGAGTCAGCAGTGAGGCGATTGTATCTGGATTCCAGTTCCTTCTGTGCCTCTTCTTTCAGCTGCAGCTCCTCCCTTGCTGCTTTCAGCTGAGACACATGTTCATCATTGAGTCTTTGCATATCTGCCTTTTCCTTTTCTGTCTCCTGAAGCTTCTCTAACAGTGCCTGTATCTGCAGGGCAGAGTCACAGTGGGCTGTGGCTTGCTGTCCCTTTTCCTCCAAGACAGCATCAACTTTTGCAAGGTTTAGGTTCTTCTGTTCTGTGGAACTCAGCTTGGCTTTGAGCTCATTGATGCAAAGATCCTTCATAGCAACCAAAGCTGTAGAGGCCTCCAGCTCCTGATTCAACATCTGCAGTTTTGAGGCACAGTCTTCCTTGCTGGTCACCAGCTGCTCCAGCTTTGTTGAATATTCCTTCTGCTGCTCCACTGCATTCAGTTCCAGTGACTGAAGGCACTTCTGCAGGTCATGAACAGTGCTCTGAGTGGAGTGTGAGACCTCACATTGCTTCTGTAATTCTGTGATCATCTTTGTTAGCCGGGAGTTTTCCTCGCTGTAGTTATTGCTCTTCTCCTTTTCTACCTGTACTTGTTCTTTCTGAAGGCTGACAGCTGCCTGGAGCTCCTGGTTTTCCATTTCTAGCTGGTGAATACGATCTTGAAGTTCCCTCTGCCTCAGCTCAGCCTGGTCAAGTTCTACACGCATCTCTTCAAAGCCCTCAAGGTGTTCAACGTTTAGTGAGCTATTTGCATCAGGGCTGGAGGGAAACTCTTGGGCCTAAATGAACAGAAGGAGAAAATCAGCAACATTAGGAAGTATTAAACATGCTTTTTAACACACACATTTGGTGTGCTCAAATGAGAGCAAGTTCAGCTTCTTAACGCACAGTGACGTTGTATGTTGTGTTCACAGCACTACAAGATATCAACTTATAGGAAACTTGTGGGGGGGGGGCTTGTTTTCACAAAAGATAAATGAAAACATACCTATCTGCAGGCAGTCTTCTGAATATATATTTTTTTTCCTCTACAAGATTTGCATGTTCAGTTGAATCAGCTACTGGACAATCCCCTTTACTTTTGATTAAGAACTAGTTTTTGTAGTTTACCATTAGAAGAGTCATAATCACCATAAAAATACCAAGCTCTCTCTGGAACCAAGCCACATAAACATTTATTTGTAATTTTCTTACCTGCAAATAACTGCTTACTAAACTGCTCATGCTGGAACTGCGACTTGGGGGCTTCCATAAATATGCTGAAGATCCAAGCGAGGACAGTGTCCTCCTGTTGATCACACAGAGAAACAATATATAAGAGAAGTCTAAGCACATAAATATATGTCTTTCTACTCTTACATGTTAAGATTTATCTAGTTGTAACTAACACATACAAAAAGACATAACTGTACCTGGTGTCTGGGCCAACAACCACTGAAGTTGATGGAAAACAAAATAGGGATATTAAAGACGTCTATAAAAGATTATGAGGTTGGTAGTCATGACTTCCCACATCCACAAGAATTTTGCTTTGCTCTAAGAAATTCTATTGCTGTGTGGTGGTGGCTCAACCAGATGGTGGCAGCATGCAGCCCCAGGAAACTCCCACTGATACAAATGGATCTGGGTCAGATCTAGTAGTTTTTGTTATTCCTCCCTTTGAGCTGGGACCACGCTGTGGTGACCACATATTGTCATCTCTACCACTGCTGCAAGTGAAGCACACACTGCTTGGCTGTTCGCTCACTACATGTCTCAGCTGATAAAACAGAAGGAGCTAAGAGCATTTCTTCTTGTACCTGTAAAGATGAGAATAGTTTGGGATTTGGGCCTAAACTGCAGTTACTGAAGTATCTATTACAGAGCGTCAACTCCAGTTTCTGGTACACAGTTTACTGAAGGGAAAAAAGGCCAATTTGGTAATAGACTAATTACATGGAGAAAGTGTATGCCTACTTTAACACAAGTATTCCTACCTTCAAACGCATAAACTTTTACAGATTCTGCAGTGGGCAGGTATTCTATTGCCCTTTTAATACAAAATTATCTATCTATCTTACCTGGCAAATGCTGGCCAAGCAGCATCTAAATCATAGCCTCTTGATGCCAAGTCAAACTGAACATCAGTGAGCTCATAGAGTTGACCCACAATGTCAGAACTCATTTTGGAATTCAGAAATGGACTTCTTGCATAGTACCAGTCACTTGAAAACAAAACAAAACAAAACAAAATACTCATTCATAAATAAAATGAAGCAGCAGATTCAACTGCAAAAAATCGCCACAACATCGTTATTCACTCCACCCCATAAGAATTACAACATGCTATTCTAAATGCAAACTGAAAGCAACCAAACTCACCAACCAACATCCCATCCCTTTGAAGTGAATGAAATCAAACAGCTTCAATGAATTCCACAGAAAGATCTTTAAAGGAGCCCTTGCACAAAATATTTTTTGTTCTAGAGCTTGGGAAAAACAGTGGCAAGACAAAATATTTGCTATACATTGGATAATCACACAGTAAATACCTAAAGCACACACTTAATACATCAAAAATGAGGAACAGAAAGCAGCAACCAGAGTTAAATGCACTGTGTAAATAGTTGAGTTGGCTCTTTCTAAAAACCCTACCAGTGCCCCACCAACCAACTACAAAGTATCTTTGGTGCTCCTTGGCCAGGGGGAAGCTGTTTCTCTGTGTGACAATCCAGAGACAAATGCTTTCTGGGGCTTTGTGCAACACATCCAAATTAATCCTCCCTTATGATGCACAGCACAGAAGATCAAACCCAGGATCTTCAATGCTTATAAAAACATCACCTTTGAAACCAATGTATAGAAGCATCAGCACTGCCCACTCTACATACATACATTTAGCTGTAAAAACTTTCAACCTTTACCAGTCTAAAGCAGGTATGAACCAGTGATCCAGGCCAAAAGGTCTATTATTCTTCCTCTCCTATTACCAGCTTTCCAAGCCAACCACTTGGAAGGGTTTCAATTTCTTTCAATAGCTACTAGGTGATGTTGCTTGATCACACTGAGCAAACACCCATTAGTTAACAAGGTACTTTGCTATTCACCTGGTCACCTTGGTGTTCATAAAACATTGCTGCAAGGTGTCTGCTAGCCTTTGGTGAACCAAGGAGTAGCGAAGAAATGCTCTTCCTTTTCCGAGAGATGTTCGTAGCTGGAAGGGAGAAACCACAAGAAAAGAAAATCCTAAATATAATTTGTAATCATGTAGAGACATGGCCAGAATAGTCTACATAACGACACAAAAACCCCACAATAAGCCACTAGTTGTAAAGGAAGCAGTTAAGAACTGCTACTGAGAGACACCTACTCCCAACACTGTCACTGGGTGGAATCTTTTTTGAATGACAAATTTGTATCTACAGCTGGCTGTTGTCCACTTTATAATAATATAAAAGGCATCACAGGACCAATGAAACATCTAATATACTAAGTACGTGAGCACAGACAATGCTGAGGGCAATTCCCAATATAAGGTAAAATCCCAATGTGCCCAGCAAAGCCAGAAGTGACTGCTTAGCTTACTTAAGATGTGTCTGGCCACAGCTGGAACAGCTTTAGGGCAGATCTAGTCACAGAACAAAGATGTACACATATACAAATATACATCCCCATGGACACAATAACCCCAGACAATGCAAAAAGCCTTTCTTAATACTTAGCCATTAAGTTGATAAAAATCTAATTCTTACTTCAGACCAAGAGCAGCTGCATGACTGAAATTAATGGATCTTTTTACAAACACAGCTGTTAAGTCAACATAAGGGGGAATCACAAAACTCAGCACTAAATTTTGTTGTAGCTATTGACTTGGGGAACTGACATTTTGTTTTGTCTTTTACATCTGAGCTATTTGTTGTCCTGCAAAATAATTAAACAATAAACAATAGTGTTTCATTTAATCAAAATCAATAATCAATTTAGAAATGGAAAATGAAAGTGATGAAAATATTTTCTCACCAGTCAGCATGCTCCAAACCAAACGGCTCATCCAACCAACAAACCAATTATGCTAATGATTTAAAAATGGAGGCCAAGGAAAACATTAGAGGGGCTGAGGCTCAAGTTAGTAGGTTACTGTAGATTTTGTTTGAAAGGTTAGTGTGAAAGAAGGCCCAAAGGTCACACAAGCTTTCTTTCCTTCTGATCAGTATTCCACTGCGGTGAAATGAGAGCAATACCTTAACTCCCAGTTTCCTTCGTTTTGCTATTACTCAAGCAAGACACAGGTTCCTCGTTTATCTCAGCAATCGACTATATACAAAAATGTTCCTCATAAATGGAATGATGAAATGTGGAGCAAAGGAAGCAACACCTTTTACTGCTTTTTGTTTTGAATTCTATAGGACACAAAGTGTGAAATAATATGGTCCCCAAAGGCTAAGTACCCCAGAAACAGCAAATTCAATGTGCCAACTGTTTTTCACCCTCATCCACCCTGTAGGTGTCTGAATACTTCTTCAGGGAGATGCCATCCCTGTTCTGTGCACAGAAGATTACAAGTGTTTTTCCTAACTAGGCGTATCTAGTGAGTATCTTAAGAACAGTCAAAAAATCCACTGGAAGCCACTGAACTAATCCTATCCTTACTCCCATTGGTTTATCAATTTAAACCACAATGCCTTTTTTAAGCAGGGAGACGCTAGAACAGATGTACATGACAACAAGTAGAGGGAAATATTTACACATATACTCAGCCACAAGTAGCCAAAGACTATGTGACTAGGAAGCAAAAACATGCCTGCTAGAGCTGTGGCAGAATTCAGGGAGGCAGGCAGTGTCTGGTGTTGTCAGTGTTTCCATGTTGACTGCAAATGCTGTAGCTAAGGTGCAGTGTGTGTCTGTAGCACTGTAGTGTGTGCAATGTGTGGCTGTAAAGACGTGGAAAGATGTATATTCAGTGTAATCACCTTTTGAAAGGGAAACGACCAGAGCCCACTGCTCACTGAATGCCATCAAGGACAAGGCTCTCTGTTTAATTAACAGCTGAGTAGTTTTCAGGTCATTTCTATTTGCTTCCTTGCTCCACCTCTCTAGCATATCATGCACCCTAATATTAGAAGCGCTGCAGGCAAAGCAGAAGAGGAGGCATTATGCTGTTTAACATTAAAAAGTAACTGACATTACTCTTTCCTCCTTGTTCACTGACATCTTTGCAAGTCAACAAGTACTGTTCAGAGAGCAAATAAATGACATTTGGAAACCTCTATGTTCTATCCAGTCAAGTTAAAAAATTGTTTGCTGATTTTCACCAGTAATGAAGGGAAATAACCAACACGTTTTTCTGACATCTGTCATTTAATTTCTGTACCTGAGTCTGCCAGCTCAGTTACCTGAAACGATTGACTGATTATTTTTAGAGTTCATATTCCTAAACCACAAGCTAATGAAGTTAAAATAAGTCTTCCACAAGCTAATTTCTATGGCTGCACAGAAACTGAAATAGAAAATGTCCTTATTCCAAACAAACATTTCAGATAACATACTAACCAGTAAACAACCAGAGGTACTGAAGAAGGAGGAAAAAGGAGAGGAGCCTTTACATGTGGTAATATGCAGCTGATACCACAGGGAACAGACTGCTGAAGGCTACAGCACAGTCACCTTTGCAGAGAAATCAGATTGGCTACTGCTGCTGAGAATTTAGGGGCCAGTAGCTACAGTCAGAGGATCTTTCCTGCAGCTGCAGTCACTGTCCTTCGCCAGTCTTCCTGGAAGTAGTGGGAAAGTCAAACCCAATTTCCATGGCTCTCCCTTGTTTCCCTTCCCAGTGGTAAAACGAACTGGAGCCCTTCCTTGGCTTGTTCGTCTTGAAACAGTAAAATTCAATATTGCCTAAGATGCTCAGAGAAGAAAGCGAGGTAGGGAACACAGAGCCTGCCTCAGCTAGAGTGCCATGGCTCTCTTTCAGATGGCTCCTGGCAACACTATCTAGAGGTGCTGTAGAGGAATTGCAAAGAGAATAGGGAAATCTGCTGTAAAGAGTAACTTGCTAATACAAGTTATCAGTGCTCATGGGTAACAGAACCAAGCATCAGGACAATGCTGGCCAGCACCACCACACCACTGCCTCTTCTACCCACACGGGAAGTTCTTCTTCAAATGATTCTAAAAGACTCAGACAGGATCAGCACAGAAAGCTTCTCACAGCACTTACTTCACTCAGTCACTGAGCTGAAGACATAATATGGCTGTTACAAGATTAAGCTTTTATTACTGTATCTAATAAAAATGAAGTTTTTTTGTCCTGACAGCTTACCCAAGGGAATAATGACAACCACCCCAAGCCATTATCACATGCTATTTGACATGGAAGAACAAAGCTGAGACAGAAGATGAAACGCTGTTCTCAGTCAGTCCTCCCCAACACTACTGACCAGTTGAAAAACAATGTCAAACATGGTGAATCTTTCCTCCTACTCTTAGAGGAAATCCTGCCTTAAGCTGTGCTGAAGATGGCAGGCTCTACCCTTGACTTAATTTTTCATTTGTTTTTAGAAAAAATGGCACTAAGTTTATGAAAAGGCGAGGCACAATCAGAGACAAAAAGGACCATTCACTTGTGCAAGTAGTCTTCAAAATAAGTAAGAGTCTGGCTATCTAATCCTATCTAATTTAGTGCCCTAGTAAAAAGAGTAACCTTGCATTTTCATACTTTACATGAGAATTAAAAATAAAAATTCCCAACTTTTTTTTTTGCCACATGTTAAAAGCAGCATATTTTCTTTTGGTTTCTACTGCTCTCTGAAAAAGGACACCAAAACATAAACCATATATTATGATGCTTAACTGATATACTTACTTCTGTAATAGACTTGACAAAGCGGATTCCATCATTAGCTCCTTTGACTTTTGCCAGACAGTCACAGAAATAATCCCAGTAGTCTTTTCTGTTCCCCAGCAATGTGTTTTTTTCTTTCTGGTCAAACTTAAACAAGGAAAAAAAAAAAAGCAATGACCAAAACTTAAATATAAATATACTTATATACAGCTACTTGGAATTCTGTTCCTCTACCAGCAACATGTGCTTTCATGACTCTCAGTTTTAGCCAATGCATTCACTGAGGAAAGAGACATTGTACTGAACTGATGCAGTCCAGCAGTTACAAAAGCTACTTTACAGACAGTAAGGGACAATAATGTTCTGGGTCTTAGTTAAATTACAGACATCTGTTCAAAACTGCTGAAAGAAAGACTTGCAGCAGATTCAGCAGCTGTTCAAGACCAAGGAACTAACAACCCCTTGCTGAGAGACCTGCATCAACTGTGGAAATAGCACAGATGTACTTACCAGAAAAACCTGCTCTAGCTAAATCACGTTCAGAGCAGCAATGCAGCGAGGGGAGGGACTGCAGCTGGAACTATTCAAACCCCAAAGGATTCTTCAGCTTCTGCTGAAGCCTCTGCAGCCCAATTAAAACTGGGTTTAATTGGGTTTTAAGAGTAGACTGGGATTAAGGGTAGATTAACACATCTTTGTTGTAATCAGTGATGTGATTACAATATAGGTAGACGCAAGACTATGCAAACTGAACTTCAGTTCGCCCAGCAGTGTCCCCTTTTACTTAAATTTTGAGGATGGACAAAAAGCAGCACTCTGCATTAAAAATCAGCTTTTCATGTGAAGCTTTCCATACAATAAAATGAATTTCCAAAGTGAAATTGCTAAAAATTCAGTAAGTTACTCACATCACTATGCTTGCACCGTGAATAGCTTACTAGTATTTATTTTGCATTAAGATGTGGTCAAGATTTCATTATCACAGTTCTTCCAAAATAGTTTAGCAGGATATATCTTTAATAAGCAGCTAAAATCTTTCAGATCAGGAGAAGAATGCCTTGCATTCTTCACTAAAACTGCCAGCACTGCCTTTTGATTACATTTATTTACTTTCACTTGAAATAAGTACAATAAGCAGCACAGATTTCAGTCCACTTACCGGAAGAAAAAAAAAGACTGACTCAACTGGATATTTATGATTATTTGAGTTAAAATCCACATACTGAAGAGGCAGTAAAAGAAAACAAGGCCTAGCTTTCATGGTGGATCACAAATGACACACATCTCGTTTTACCTGTAGAAGGTACTCAAGCTTGTAGGAGAATTTTTGCAAGTTGACACTGTCATCTGTGATTGGTTCCCCTCCTTCTTTAAATTCTTTACTTAATTCAGTCACAGCATCTTTAAAACAAGACACCAAAATGGTTAGCTAATGCAAAAGATATATAGCTATATATCTATAAACAACTAAATTAGTTTTCTGCCTGGCCATCAGGTATGTCTATTTGGTTTCTTTCAGTTCAACTGTCTTAACAACAGTGCAAAAAGCTTATTGATATGCTTGCAATTTCACACCACCTTTAAAGAAAACTAGAACTCAGGTTATGTATACCGACTGCTTCTTGAAAAGAGCAAAATCCCCATCTGACACTTAGCAAAAATTGGTAACAGACAACTGCTCACTGGTTCTTCAGCAGAGGAAAGAGAAATAACTTTTTGCTGTCTCATGTGCACATTAAGGTACTGCCACAGGACAAACAAAATTCTGATTAGAAAGGACAAAGCATGTAATCTGCTAAAGGGGATCAGTAACACGAGAACAGTCGTTCAGTCAGCACATTTATCTTCTCCACGCTTTATTCAGGAAGGTTCAGCTTGTGCTGGTTACAAAACACAAATGGGAAAAATAATTTACATGAAAATAAGCATACAGCAACTCCCTTTCTCTAAAACCTACACCCACAGTGGGTGAGGAAATCTCAAGTCAAAGCAAACTCTGCTGTCTCCCTGGACACTCTGGCCCCAAAAGGACATACTTCTCAGCATCAGAAATTACTGATTTTGAGTTTCCTTTACACTTGATATTGTACTTTTACTACTGAGGGAGCCTTAGCTCCCAGTCCCCTCAATCCCCTTTGCAAGTTAAAATATTTTCTTGTTAGTAGGTATGAAAATCTCCTTTTTATGTTACAGGAAGATCTAGATTCCCAGCTTTGGTGCATATCATACCTTATATTTAATGAAAACTAAAAGGAAAAATATCTGTATCTTGGTATAGGCAGCTGATTAGGACAGATACAGAGGAAGAAAACGGTTATGAATCTGCTGCTGATTTTGCCTGCAACAGAACTGTGGAAAATGAGGCTGGCTACTGCTTGTGGAGTACAAGCCAGGTGCAAGGAAACCATGTTCCACTGCAGCAAGAACAGCAGATCCAATTCTTCAACACTCCTCCTCTGGGTCTCCATTCCCATTTTGGTTTAGGCTTGTTTTTTTTCCCTTCCTACATTAGCAGCAACTCCACACCAGCTTCCCATCAAGGGAAGCTCTAAAAATCAGGCCTCCTCCTTATCTCACATGAAGTCTTGTAACAGCATAGCTCTATGCATGCCAACAAAGTCCTAGCTCACACTGCACACCTTACAGACACTTTTTTAAAAATTGTAAAACTTACTGCTCATCTTGTATGTTTAAATTTGCAGGATTTAAGAATTTAGGATCCCACAGAAGGTATAGCACATCTCTCACAAACAAATCAGTCACATCTCTATTGAACACATCACACACCTTGAACCATGTTGCTACAATCGATGCACTAGTGTGTTACACAACTGAAAAAAAAAAAAACCCTTCTACTCTGTCATCTAAAAACATGGAGGATGGAGTCCAGCCTACAGAATGAACCTGTCAACATGGCACTGTACCTTGCAAGTCTCTGATAATCCGCTGCAGTTGGCTTTCACCACTAGTTGCTGCCATCTTGAAAACCAAAGGAACTCCCCTTCTGGGCTGTTAACTTTTTCATCCATCTAGATAAAAATAGCAGAGTTCATATCCTTGATGACCATTGGGCGAACAAAGATTACTCTTCTCTGTGATACCTGTAAAAGTAAAAAATAAAATTGAAGTCTTTAACATGTCAAATGAGCAGAAGAGAGGTGCTTTAGCATTTTAGATCCTGGTTAGTAATGAATTCCCATACGGCAAACTCTTTTCCAGGAACGTTCTTTATATTTCCTTCTAAATTTCACTCTCCATTTCAGTTGTTTTTCCAGTTATATCTTTCAAAACTACTAAGCAAACCTCAAGAGAGCAATTTTCTCTCACCAGAGTTACAACACAGTTAGTCTTACAGCCAAGCTCAGGCTGGCATTTCATGCAACTCATCTTGTGACCCTGAGGGAGGTTCTAATGACAAGGGACTTTCCCTCTCAAAGCCCTCTGCCAGATCTTCCCTACAGGTTGCACAGTAAAAAGATACGACTTTTCCATTTCAGGGAGACTTAAAAGAGACAGACTAGGCACGGGCCAAGGAGGCAAAAAATTATGCATATCTGATTCTCTTGCATTGCAACATATTTTTAACTTGTAAGAGCTACTAAAAGATTTAGTATTGGAGACTTGTTTTAGCACGAGAAACAACTTCCATCCCCTCCTCACAACCCACTGTCCCCAACGCAAGTAAGGGGACACCAGTTTATTTTAAGCTCTGTTACAGCATTCCTGGCTGGATAAATATACCTTCCACCACCTCCTTTGCTTAGAACAATGACAAGTGAGCTATACCCAGCACTCATAGAAAATCATTCCTTATTTAAAGAATTAAAAGTAATTAAAAGACTCAAACACTTTACTGCAACAACCATGCCTAGGGACCCAAATTTTCAAACACTAACCTGGGAACAATCACTCAAAAAAGCCACACAGAAACTGCACAGGGAACTTACTAAGCATCCTGGTCAAAGGTTGTTCAGAATTCTGCCTACATTGGTACAGCCAAATTTTCCAGCCAGCACAACACCTGAAGTACTGAATCTTTACAAAATTTGCTGTTGCACTTCTGTGCTTCTGTTATCATGCGAGCTGAACTACAATGAAATTAAGTTGTAATTAAAATCTTACAAACTTTTGAAATACAAATGTGATTAGGTTAATTGATCATGTCTCCTTTCCCTTTTCTTTCTTCCATCCCAAAATAACCAAGTTAGCACGGCTGCAGGAGGTGTCTGAATGAGTCACACAGACCATCCTTCTACCCTGTGTATCGAGGTATTGTTTGGGAACGGTCATGATGTGATCCTGCATTCTTTTCTTCTTGAAATAAAGCCAACCTTAAGAAAGCCATAGAGACAGAAACATGGTAAGTATAAAGAGAAGACTGAAACCAGGGTTACTAGTGTATTTCTCTTAATATTTGCATTTTGTTACCTCCTAGCTTCCATTTCCATATTTTGACAGCAGTCGTTATGTCATGACACAACTGTCGTGTGGACCACGTGCTGTCTGGGGAAGGGCCTTGGCCTGCAACATCCCCACCACAACTGTACTGCTTCAGGGAGAGAAGGCCAGCACAGCATAGACTGGCCAACCTTCTGTGGTGCCAAACGTTATTTTTTACCCTAAATCAACAACATTACATACCCAAGATTCCTATCTTGATTCTACCGAGTGATCATACGAAGTACCACACTTCCTGGTAACTTGCTGAGTTTGGGTACCAATGAAAAAAAGCAAGAATAACAAACCCAGTGAGTCAACGTTTCCTCTTCTAGGCACCCACAGTAGCATCAGCCAGATCTGTCCAGTTTGGCAACTGTTACAGAATGGAGCATAAGCCAGAAGACCGTGCAATGTGGGCAATCACAAGCCAAAATGTGTGGTCAAACCAAATGCTCTTCCTCACACAATGGGCGGGAAAAAGCAAAGGCCAACAAGGGGATCCTGCCCACCCTTCCCAAAGGCCAAAACAGGCTCCAATTCAAGGCTCCAGAGGCATGAAGACTGTGCGAGAGGCACGCCAGGAAAACAGTGAACAGGCCAACTGCAGGCACGGACAGAGCCTGGAAGAGACGGCAGCTGGGAGTCAGGCCCTTATTTCGCAACAGCTAGCGGGGAGCAGGACATGGGGCGTCCTAGGGCAGACAGGCACAGCAGCACGGGACCTTGTCAAGTGCTAGTTCCTGGCAGATTGCTCAAGCAGGTATTTGCTGGGGGAGGATTAAGGCAGTTTAGAGTTGCCCCAGCCCCACTGACACTGCCTTGCGTGTTTCCCCAGAAGTCACAGACAGTTGACTACTGACTGCGCAACAGTTCAGTGACACAGTGCAAGGGACAGCAGCGTGTTCCCAACAGGTTGATCCTGTTGTGCCAAAGCAGCTCAAGACATGCATCTTTATTCCTGTTGGGATCTCCCAGGCCAAATGCAGTAACCCTGAACAGAGGGCATGTAGCTGCACAGCCCACTCCTCTGCCTGCTTCCAGTCACCCCCTTCCTCAGCACAGGGAGCAAGGTGTCATAGCTTCCTCTGTCCTTCCATCACCTCCCGCCCATGAGACATGCATTTACTCCCTTCTCTTCCCAGAGGTAAAGGGGACCTTGCGCCCAGGGCTATTGCACAAGGAGAATGTGCTGAAACTTTTTCTACCTGTCTTCTCTGCAAAATGGGGAAAAAGGTACTTCTCTGTGGTCCTTCCAGAGGTGTTCTTAGCAAACACAATCCACACCACAGAAGGGTGCAGAGCTCTCGTTTCCTACGGTAGAGCAAGCTGAAAATGTACCTTACTTGGTTTCCCAAGGTCTCAACATAGGAAGAGCTTCTGTAGACACCTGATGTAGTCCTTCCTCATCACAGAACATTTTGTCCAGAATTGTTCAGAGCACAACCCTGTTCTTCCACTATGTACCACCCTATTATGTGCCTCTGCAAATACCTGCTATGTGAGAAGTGCATTATACATGTCAGGCACGAGCTCTGGGTCAAAAGCTTTTTAGACGATGCATCGTTACCTCTCGTATAATAGCATTTGACTAAGGCTGACGGCATTAACTTGCACATAACTGCAGTGCTGCAATGACATCAGTGCAGTTACACGAAGGACCTGGCACGGAGCAGGGCAGAGGAGGCAAGACAGGGCATGCCATCCGTCTCTCCTCGTACTCTTGGCCCATGCCTGCTGCTCCCTCTCCTGCTGGCATAAGTACTGGTGTGGGGGTGACAATCTTCTTTACAGAGGAGGGCATGATGGAGATTAAGGAAAAAAGCAGAAAGGAAACAGCACACTTACAGGAAAAGAAAAGATTTACCTGAAGGGGAGTGTGACACATACAAAACAGTAAACAAAATTGAATGACTGTAATTAAATTGGTTAGTGGGGTAGCTACAATGACCTACTTTTAATCTGACTTCAGAAAATCTCTCTTTTGATGCACGTCTGCATCTCCAGTAGCTACATTTTTTTTAAAATTCATTGGTCAATTTTGGCCAATCTTGACAGAAGGTAGAGGTCTTCAAAATATTACACTCCTCCATGTGCACTCTGAACATGAAGCCGTGAGGAAGTCCACAAGCAGAGTTTCTCTTCATTGATAAACAGGCTGCAGTGACAGCTCCGTTACAGCCTAATATCAGAGGATCCACTCCCCACCCAACTGCATTTTCAGCGTACACTAAGAGCAGAGCTCACACTGAAGACTTGGGGTAATTCAGTTAAAAAGTAAATCAGATCTACAAGACAAATTCATTGGAAACCAAGGTCCACTACTTTCTACTGCTCATGTAAATATTTCACGTTCATATAACTACTCTGGTCTAGCCATTCCAAACCAGGGTATTTCATCACGTGCCACCCCCTGGTATCACAAGACCTTTAATTATTTGGTGCCTACCAATCTATACTTGTTTGAACTCTCTACGTGAAACAAAACAGGCAAGTGAGCAATGTGAGCCAAATCCTACATTCATGAGTCACAACAATTTTAACTAGGTGAGTCCTTTGTGTAACGTGAATACGGTTTGTACCATAAAAGCAGATACTGTCTGACGACTGCAAGGGACTCTTGCAAAGTGTGTGAAAAAATGACCTACCTGGCCATACAGTTGGCTACAAGACACACCAACAAAAGAATTCTGGATGCAAACCTGATGGCAATGATGAAGGAAGAATTGGGAAAAGGAAGTCTCTGCCACTCACAACCATAACACCACTGATTTAGTTAAATAATTTCATTACAGTAATTGTCTGGAAAAAATACTTCATACTTTGTTGTTGCAGGAAACATAGAGACCCAGTGGAATTTACTACAGCTGTGCTGCTAGCTTGTCTCATTTCCTACCACGCAGGTACATAAAGCTGCAGATCCACAAAGCTAAGGAACTGTTTGCTGGAAATAAGGGACTGCAAAAAAGATCGTGGGACTCTTCTGTCATGCACACACACGTTTTTACTGGGCAACTCAACCCTTTGTGCTTTAACACTGCATATAAAGATATGTGACTGATAAAAATCCACACTGGACCACATTAAATAGGAAGATTAAAAACAAAAGTCAGGCACAGCCTGAATGTCAGCTAAGGTTTCCATTGGGAGTTTTGAAGCTTGGTTCTATTCCCAGAAGTGTAATTTTCTTGATAAACTCATCTTCCCCCTTAGTTTTCTACAACAACAAACCTTCACGTTTAAATTACAAAAACACATTTTGTGGGGAGTATTTTTAATTTTTTGGTTTTTTATTTATGACTTCAAACATGAGACCACGCTGCAAACCTATGCTGGATTTCCCACATGCTCATACACACAAACCTTGTTTTGAAGTGTTTGGGTGTATAAACATTTAGTAATGCATCTTGGAGAAAATATGTGTCCAAGAACAACAAATTCACAGCATATCATAGCATAGCAGAAGAGAGCAACTAGATAAAGTGCATAAAAACATTCACATAATTGGCAAATGCCTCGTAGAAAAGTAGCATGGTTATAGTAAGGGACTCCTTAAAAAAAATGCCCTTTTGTGGGGAGGCTCTTGTATTCTCTCTGGGGAGGTTCTCTGCATTTTACAGCATAAGAACACAAACTACTGACATTCACAAAATAACTGCTTGCACCC